AAAATTTAAAATAAAGCATATATTAAATAGTTTTGACTATATATATTTGCAAAGTTTAACTGAACTTGCTAATTAACAACTAGAAGAGGCATCTGTAGCAAATGCTCATTTGTTATGTAGTTATAAGGATTGGCATTATCAAATAGAGATGTCAGGAACATTTATTTCAATTTTTAATTAGGGCAAATTATAGCCAATGATCAAGAAATGATGTAATAAAGACTTGATCTGGAGTCAGCTTCAGATTGACCTATATTGACAATATAATGTAGCTATAGTCTGGGGACGTGTATATGTAATCATGAAAATTGTTAAAATCTACTGAACACTTATGCGCCGGGCACTTGTGCCAAGTCACAGGAGCTTTTCATTTAATACAGTAATTCTGTGAGGTAAGTACTCTTATTAGTTCCATTCTAAAGATGAGGGAACTGAGGCACAGGGAGGCTGAGTACCTCTGAGGTTTTCCAAGGCCACACAGCTGGTAACTGTGCCCCTGGGATTTGAACTCAGGTAGCCTGACTCCAGGGCCTATGTGGACAACAGACGCCTGTATGCTGTGCTCCTTCAGACTAAGACCTGGTGGATACTGGTGCTTTGATGGTTGTAAGCAAATGCTTGGTCTGTAAACATTTATTCTCAACAAACAGCTAACAAGCAGGTGTACGGAGTTCTGCGCTAACAGCTTTGATTTCAGTACCACACTCAGTCCTACCACACCCTCAGAAGCAGGTACCATTATGGTACCATTGCCAGACGCGGAGGCTGAAGGACAGAGAGGTTAAGTAACCTACCCGAGGCCACGCCACTGGGAAGTGAGGATGCTCAACCCAAGGTCTGATTTAGAGCCAAGCTGCTCTTCGCTGCATTACTCTGTGGATCCAAGCCCCGTAAGCACACTCACTGACGGTGCCCACAGTGATTTCCTTCTGTTCTCTCCCCATGTAACACTAAGCAATTTTTCTAAGACCTGAGCAGTATTTTACATGTGACTTTCAATCCCCTTCAGGAGTGATGGTGACCTGTGGAGATTTTCAGATCAAAGCCACAGTCCCCTTTGTGATGTCTCCTCCTCTAAAGTTAAGATAGAACGAGCCACGATGTACTAACGAATTACACACAGGCTGGCCTGCGCATCATCACGCCATCTAGAGCACACACAGAACAGCTTACTGAAGGGCTGTGATCTGTGTCCATGACCCCACCCGTCGCGTACTTAGGCCCACCACTCTCCCTGAAAGTCAACCGTCCTGAGGGAAGAAAAATCTACAGTGTAGGTCTGGTCACTTACTCTCCTCTCCACTGGTGTTAATCTGGACCATAACCTTTAACCTTTCCGGGGAGCCTTTTTTCTGCCAGGAGCTGTTCACTTTGTCTGCCAACTTCACAGAATCCACTGTTTCCAGCATGAAGAGACTGGGGACAGCTGTAAGGAGACAGAGGCAAGGTGGTATTCTTTACCTGCCCCACCGCAGCAAGTACCAGGTAGCAAATCTTTGACTCGGTGGAGGGGAAGATATCCCAGGAAAAGAAAAAGACAGTTAAATCTCAGTTCCGACATGAAAACCAATGTGACAGTTTTACTAGACGTAAGTTCAAAGGTCAGACCATCCCTGGCTAATCAGCAAAAATGACGAAGGAAAGGGAAACGCCAACACAATCAGGCAGCACATGTAGCCACGGGCTTCGAGAAGCGGGTAGCTGGAGATTCCTGGGAGCAGGCCTGACTGACGACGCCGTGGTTCTAACAGACACGCAGGTCAAGATGACCATGAAGAAAGGACAACCAGTGCAAGCCAAATGCTTCCCTGGCACATCGCCATGTTCTTAAACTTTCTGGGATGGGGTGTTCTTATTTGAAAGGACTCAGAATGACCCACACACTGAAAGCTAAAGGCTCAGAATGACCCACGCACTGAAGTCATCAAAGCCATTTTCTTTTTCAAAGTTATACATGGGACATGAAGGATCAGCTTTGTCTCACATAAATAACAACAATGGCGATGGCAGAAGGGACACCTGTAGCTTTTACTGAATGCTGAAATCTTCCAGGCGGTATGCTAATCACTTCATATGCATTCTTTTTCTTTCTTTTTTTTTTTTTCCGAGACAGTTTTTTTTTTT